CGACTGTAGGTGACAAGGTTCAAACAGCTGAAAGTACTGACTCAAGTGTAACTGAAGAAGACAAAAACGCTGACAGTCCTGGCCAGTGTGCAACCGACAACAATAAAGAAGGTGAAAGTCCTGGCCCAAGTGCAACCAAAAAAGATCAGAAAGCTGAAATTCCTGGCTCAAGTGTAACTGAAAAAGATCAGAAAGCTGAAAGTCCTGGCTCAAGTGTAACTGAAAAAGATCAAGAAGCTGGAAGTCCTGGCCAGAGCGCAACCAACAAAGATCAAACAGCTGAAAGTCCTGACCCAAGTACAACCGAAAAAGGTCAAAAAGTTGAAAGTCCAACCCCAAGTGTGGGTGAAGAAGACCATGGGTATAAGAAAAAGTCCAAGATCAAGAAAAAGAGAAAACCAAGAAAGCAAAGAAGAAAAGAAGAAACTAAGTCACAAAGTGCGGCTGAAAAAGATCCAGCCAGTTTAAACTATAAAGAAATGCCTGTTCCAAACATGGCTGAACAAGACCCTGTCATCTTGGATTATAAAGAAAAGCCTGTTCCAAGTGTGGCTGAACAAGATCCTGCAATCTTGGACTTTAAGGAAATGACTGTTCCAAATGTGGCTGAACAAGACTCTACCATCTTGGATTATAAGGAAAAGCCTGTTCCAAGTGTGGCTGAACAAGATCCTGCAATCTTGGACTTTAAAGAAATGCCTGGCCAAGGGTAAGTGAAGGTCTCCAAAAAGACAGAAAAAAATGTACAGATTTCCAGGGTAGTGGAAACAAAAATTTGGAGTTATTTGGGCACAAAGATTAATTCCACTCCCTGTTTAACAAATTAATTCTATGTTGCTGTGCGCCTGTTCAGTAATAGATCACAGATGCTATCAAAATGTGGTAAGAGCAAAAAATGGCACAGATGCTCTTAGCACATTATGACATCTTCTGTGATCTATCATTGTACGGACCCACAACAACATGGAGTCCATTTTATATGATAAAATAAGAAAGATGTTAATGGTGGCAACATCTTTGTATCTGCCCTTTAACCCTTTACACCTTAACATCACACTCTAACATCACGATGCATAGGCAAAGATGTTTTTTTGTCTTGTCACAAGTGTGGGACAAAGAAAAAATTCTGAGTCCCCATGTGGAATCAAACCTCAGACCTTTACATTCTACGCTCTGATGCTCTACCACTGAGCCACAGAGACTCCACGGTGAGCAAGGTCAATTACGAAGTTCATACAACACATGTCCTGCATACTGCTAGGATCAGCAATGTTGAAAGTGTAATGTTTGTAGATAGAAATAAGAGAGATGGTGAATTTTGAGCTCAGTAAAGAAATAGAGAAAGATGTTTTTTTCCTCTTGACCTGAGCATGGGACAAAGAAAAAATTCTGAGTCCCCATGAGGAATTGAAGCTCAGACCTTTGGATTCCGCATTCCGATGCTCTACCACTTTGCCACAGAGACTCCACAGTGATCATGATGCATATTCTCCATACTGTTCCCTACATATTTTCTTAGGTGCTGCCAAGGAGAATTTTTTTATCAATCAAAAGTTCCGTTAGTTGGTGATCATTTCCTCAAATTGCATGACTAAGAAGAGAAATAAGGTGCTTGTCACTCCTTGGGTTCCTGGGGTCAATAGAACATAAGTAAAATCCAATTAAAATGTGCACATAATTCAGCTTATCATAAAAAAGGCCTACACCCTGTAAAAAATCAATTTACAAGAAAAGAGGCTAGAGTCCAAACTCCATTCAAAATATGTTTTAAACTTGTTAAATGAACTACAATATTTGGCTAAAATAAGAATTACAAGACTTCCTAAAATTTCAGACAACGAGGAAACAAATTTCTGCAAATGAAAACTCTGTGAAAAATGTCCATGTCAGTTTTCCAATGTCAAGGTTAGAGTTCTTTGACCTGATTGGCTAATTTAAATCATGCAAACTGCGTGTGAATACAAAAAGAATACAAAGAGGAAAGAGGAAGAGAAAAATTGTGACTTGAAATTTGAAAACAAAAGAGATTTTCGACATAATTCAGATTATCATACAAAAGGCCAACACCCTGACCACAAAGGCAGCTTTTATCAGAAAAAAACAACATACGGAGAAGATCAGGATGTACAGCAGAAGAAGACACAGCTGTTCTATACTTCAGAGACTAGCACATGCACTGTATTCTTCATAAACATAGTCTTTGTTTTTCATAAGACACAGCTATTGAAAAATATAAAGAAATGCCTGGCCAAGGGTAAGAAAAAGTATCTGGCTAAAGAAGACATGACCATATTAAAGGCTCACACCCTAACCTTGAAGGCAGCTTTAGAAAAGAAGAATAAAATGCTACACAAAAAAATAGAAAATCAAGAAATAACAAGATCTACAGCAGAAGAAGACACAGCTATTCTAGACTTCAGAGACTAACGCATGCTCTGTATTATCGGAAAACTTAGTTACGTCTGTACAAGAAAAACCCAGCTTCTCAAAATGTTAAGAAATGCCTTGGCAAGAGTAAGTAAAAGTCTCTGGCTGAAGAAGGCACGACTAAGCTAAACTTCAGAATACCCGGCCACTTTGGTCCGCCTCACTTATATGTGTCGAGAGGCTTTGAGGATCGAGGCATAACACTATAGACGCTACTCTTATTCAATGACATGTAAATGAGTGGCCGGGTATTCTGAAGTTGCTCCGAAAAAAAAACACACAAAAATCCAGAAGTATCAAGACCTATGGCAGAAGACACGGCTATTCTAGATTTCCGAGACTTGCACATGCTCTGTATTCTTAAAAACCTCATTCTTTGTGTTTACGAGAAAGAACCAGCTATTAAAAACTCTAAAGCAATGCCTGGTCACGAGAAAGTCAAAATATCTGATCTGGCGGAAGAAGCCACGACTATCTGTGGTGATTCTTGAAGAATTTAAATGCCTGGAAAAGTGTAACCAATAATTTTTTGTCACAGGAAAACCACTTTCTTGACAAATATTAATAGACTTACCTCTCTGCTTGACTCCTGGCCCCATTAAAGTACAAGTCACAACAGTCTCCAGCGAACTAGTTCTTCTCGATTGATTTTGCGCTAACGAGCGTAAATAGCGTAGTTCGAGAAAATGTTTACGCGGCTTGGTAAGGAAGACAAGTGAAAGCAGTTTGGCGTGCCTCCTTGCCAGTTATCCATTGTGACTCTTGTTATCGGCCTCTAGAAGGCAGAATCTTATCAGCCCAGCTACGTTAGACATTTATATATACATATATATGTCTGGAGCAAGATAAATAATAAGAAATATAGGAGATAAATTGCCGAATAAGTTAAGTCGGACGGGAGAGTCTGGACCCTTCTTCGCAAATAGGAGTCCAGTGCATGCTGGGAAGGTATCAAAATTGGAAAGGTCTTGTGCATGGTATTGAGAATTTATAATCACGAGGTGTGAGGAAGTGTACTTTGCTCACGTCGTTTAATTGTGCGGCTCTGTTCGTGCGATCTGATAACTAAATTGAAAAACAGAAGTTATTTCAAATACAAAAAAAAAACTTCCCGGTGTATTAGTCACCTGATTGTTCCATTGCCTCGCACTTCCTAGGATTCGTCACATGTTATCTCAAAATGTATGTTTTAAAGATGTTTTTGTCTTTTGAAAATCGATGTTTATCAAACTCTGTGATTCAAGTGTTTTAAAACGGACTCACTTTTAGCATTTCATCATGCTAGGTTAGATAATGCGACGAAAATTGAGTTTGCTGGCCTCTCTGATTAAGTGATAAATTCTCTTTACTATGACAAAACGAGCAATTGTAACGCGGGAGCGAACTAGTTCCATTACACGCAGGATTTTATGAAAGGAAAGGAAATAGAAGCAGTCGCTTCCTTATGACTACTTAGAAACCTTTCCAGAGTTGATGTCGCAATCAATGAGTTAGGTTTCCACTTGATTCACTGAAATCGTCGACGCTATACGCGTTTTATCTGCGAAAATGTGGCTGTGAAACTCATGGAATATAAAGTGCGAAGTTTCCTAGAGTATGAGTTTACAGAAACATCGAAGCAAAGGCCGTGGAGGCAGTGGCAGGTAGTTATTCTTAGAGTTACAAAAACTTTCTCGGAATTCTTTTATCGTCTGTTAGTCCTGACAATCTGATCAAAACCTTAAGCTCAATCATATTTTGTTTGATGAAGAGGAACTAATTCAGTACCGGCGAGTCAAGGGTCTAATTTTCAGCCGTGATGCAATTTTATATAAACGGAAGACTATCGACCGGCTCTTTTTTAAACTTCATTCTTAATTCCCCAAGATTAGTGTGGCTTTCGTGTGGTAGCATTGCGAGGATCATTAATTGAATATCCCGTTATAGTTTTTGCTTGACCCACCCAATTACGCCGAGTTTTGACATGAGAAGCATTTGTCGTCAACGTGGACTACACCACCTTGTGATACACTCATATCATTCTCTCGCAAGAATATTTTCATTGTGGTATTTCCTCGATGACAACTATTTACCCTGTCATTTTTAAGATGTGCAACCATACAAACATCAATATAGTGTTGAAAATATCACGCGAGATCACGCCAAACCAGCCTTGGTGAAATTTTGTTCATCTCTTATCATCCCCCTCTGATTCTTGGCCGATGTGAAAGTATCGTTCTCGTGTTTATGGTATTTCCGAAAAATTTCTCTGCTATGGGTTACTTCTTTTGCCGGCGTGTTTGGATTAATATTGCTCAAGATCAGTGGCTCAGTTAAGTAATTTGAAAGAGATCAAGTTTACACGTTGAAACAGAGATTTGTATAGCCTGGAGTGGTTCTTCCGTTGTATCTGTCGCTGACTATCTATTTTTATCCCGCTCTCTAAATATCGTGTTTCATGCAGGTAACATATATTTAATGTCTGGTTTTTTATTTTTTCAGGGGTCAAAAGAGTTACAGACCAGGTTCCAGTGCAAGTCCTCCACCTCCGACGCTTAACTTTGCCAATGTAAGTTTGAGAAAATAATTCCTGTGCAATCGTGTGGATTATTAACTTTTAAAGATTTTAATTTACATTCGATGTCAATCTAAGCTGCTTAATATGTGCCATTGTTGCTCACTTGTATCTTTTATTAGTTTGAATGTTGTATACTTTCTGAAATTTCTCATCCCCTCTTGCCATTCTTTTTTTCAGTCTGACAATGGGCATACCACAGACATCTTTGCAAACAAGTTCATGGTTTACTATGTTATCAGCAACTTGGTAAGCATGTACTTGTATTTCCACATGTGTGTTTTACTGGATTAACCCTTAAACTCTTAGATCAAATTTGTAATTCTCCTCACAGTCAACCTTATAATTCTTGTAATGTTCAGAGAACTTAGTATTAGATCAACTATCCTCAAATTGATATTTTTCTTTATTCTCATCACTTATTTGGTTGATATTGTATTGATATTGTAAGGAGAAATTCTGTTTTGGTCACTCATGGGAGTTGAAGGGTTCAAGTACAATTATCAGGTTCCCTCTTTCTTAACAGATGTTACCCTACTTGGATCTAACTTCTACTTAATTCATGCACCTTAGAATGAGAGTCGCACAACTTAACAGTTGTGTGATTCTTTTGGAAAATCTCTGAATTAGGATAGTGTGATATTAGATCACTTAATAAACCCTGATTGATACTTTTCTTATTCTCATTACTTGTGTGCTTGATGTTGTACTGTTGTTGTGAAGAGAAATTCTCTCTTGATCACTCATGGGAAATAAAAGGTTGATTATATGTTAACCTAACTCATGCAATGTTTCCAATGTCTTTGTCTTTTTGCTGGTAATTCTCATTCACCTAGAAAAAGAAAAGAATATTAAAACTGTGCTTCAATTCACTCTTTGTACAGGGTGAGACAGCTCGTGTTCAGGTTCAGAATGGTGATATTTATGAAGGAGTCCTCAAAGCCGTTTCCTCTAAGGTTGGTTTTCAACAGAATGTTTCACCCAATTTAATATAAAGAATCCATATTGCTGTGGGTCTGTAATAGATCACAGACTCTGTAAAAATGTGGTAAGAACAAAAAAGTGGCAGACAAGGCACAGCCATGATTGTCCCTGATACTCTTACCACATTTTGATGTCCTCTGAGATTTATTACTATACAGACCCAGAGGAAACAGGGAATGTGTTTGTTCTATCCAATAAAAAAAGCAAATTGTTGTTGATAGTGATGTCACATCCATGTCTGTCCTCCAACAGATCTGAAGTATGAGCCAATCAAAATGCATGTATAACTCAGGTTATCATATTAACCCTTTATACCTCAACATCATCATACCGTTCTCTGTACATTCCCTAAGGTGCTGACAAGGAGAATTTGTTTAACAATCAAGAGCTTCTTCTTTAGTTGGTGACCATTTCCTTTATTCTCATGACCTTAATGAGTGATTCTAGGGTGATACTGTAAGGAGAAATTTTATGCTGGTCACTCTAAGGGGTCAAAGGGTAAACAGAAATTATCTGCACCTATAGTTCCAAAAATTTCCTATGGCATTGGCAAATAATCATAAATTCTTGAAACTTGAATGAGAAAATTTTCTCTTCTGCAGTTCGACTGTTCCTTAGGCGAAGCTCATCTTGTGCAGCAAAAGAAAAGCAATGGACTTGTTATGGAGGTGATTATGGCATGATATATTGGAAAATAGAATGCCTCTTTTGTTATTATATGGCTGTGGTAATGAGGTAGTTTCATTTATCAACTGAGTTGATCCACTCTGATGAAGGGCTAATGCTTGAGACACCAGCTTTAGACTCTTTTATATGACTCTTTAGTTTTATTTAGACTCAGTTAATAAAACTAAATTATATTGATATACCACCCACCGACACAGCACCGCAGTTTCTTTAGAAACACACCCCTTTTTATTCATTTGTGGCAAGAAGAGGTTGCATGGAAGTGATCAACTTGCACCAGCACAAATAAAAAAGTCGATGATGATGATGATGACCACAGTGATGAAAGAATACACCCATTACAGTCAGTTTTCATTGTGATCTGATGGAGACTTGTAGAGTACCATTGAAACACTGCAATCTTCAACTCAACCCTTTCACTGCCAAGATCTTATTGGAAATTCTCCTTTCTGTCTGCTATACAATTCTTTTGATGTTAATTCAGAGAATTTGGTATTTGATCAACTTATTATTTCCCTAATTGAAATAATTTTTTATTCCCATTACTTATCTGCTGGATATTGTATTGATATTGAAAGGAGAAATACTGTCTTGGTCAGATGTGGGATTAAAAGCGTTAGGCAATTCACTACAGTAATTCCACTTGATATAATAATGTATATTATTTTTCTAAGGATGAACGAATGTTACCCAGCCGTGATGGTCTTATCAGCACTATTGTGATTGCTCTGAAAGATATTGTGAGTGTTAATATAACCAAAACAGAGGAACCGGAGATTGTCATCTCAGTTGGTAAGACTTCCTTTCAGAACATTTGTATGACTGAGTTACAGATATGATTAATGGGCTGAACCCAATAATCAGTTGAATAGTCTGATCATCTAGGATAATGTAATCACAAAAAGGACTCACCAACATTTATACAACCCAAGCAGAAGTCACTGGAGTCAAGCGAGGAGATGTTTGTCATTCAGCTCTTGGCATAACTCTGATGATGTGTTCCACTTGGATTGTTGCAGTTCTTTTCAGGACTGCGCTACCTTAGAGAATCTCTTTACACCATCAACCATAAATCCTGGTTCACAAGTTTTTAACTCCTTACACCCTAACATCAGTATGCAAACTCTCCATACTATGCTCTATACATTTCCTAAGGTGCT